TTTTTTTGAGGCAGTCTCACTTGCCTTCCCCTGGGGTGCAGTGGTGCAATCATAGCTCACTGTAGCCTCCAACTCCTGGGCTGGAATCCTCCTGCCTCAGCCTCCCAAGTAGCATGCACCACTATGCCCAGATAAGCTTTTTTTTTTTTTCTCCCCAGAGATGAAGGTCTCACTATGTTGCCAAGGCTGGTCTCAAGCTCCTGGTCTCAAGTAATCCTCCCGCCTCCATCTCCCAAAGTGCTGGGATTATAGGTATGAGCTACAAGCCCTGTTTATAGCAGTGTTCATCCATTCATGAGGGCAGAGTCCTCATGACCTAAACACCTCCCATTAGGCCCCAACTCCCAACACAGTTGCATTGGGAATTAAATTTCCAACATATGAATTTTAGAGGACACAGACCATAGCTGGGTTTAAACATATGAATTTGGGAAGGATATAGTTATGGGCTAAATTATGTCCTCTCCCCAAAAATTGTGTGTATATAGATACATGTATGTATTTTAATGTAGCATTTGTCTTCCTTCCTCCTGGGTGGCACACACCTGCCTGCATCCAACCCCACCGTTGACTGTTTTCCCCTGCAGTGCCCCACTTACTATCTGCTTTCCTGTTGATTCCTCCTCTCTTCTCTAAGTAAGACAAAGTACAACACACCACTGTCTTAGTCCATTTGTGTTGCCACAACAGAATACCTGAGCCTGGGTAATTTATAATGAGCAGAAGTTTATTTCTCTTGGTTCTGGAGGCTGGGAAGTCCAAGGCTGGAGGTCCAACATCTGGTGAGGGTCTTCTTGCTGTGTTACCCCGTAGTGTAAGGGCAAAGAGAGAGCAAGACAGAGAAAGAGATTGAACTTGCAGCCTCAAACCCTTATTTATTTATTTATTCATTCATTCATTCATTCATTCTTTTTTTTTTTTTTTTGAGACAGGGTCTTACTTTGTCACCCAGGCTGGAGTGCAGTGGCGTGATCTCAGCTCACTAAGCCTTGAGCTCCTGAGGTTCAAGGGATCCTCTTGCCTCAACCCCCCAATTAGCTGGGACTACCACTATGCCCAGCTAGTGTTTTTTGTATTTTTTGTAGAGATGGGGTTTCACCATGTTGCCCAGGCTGGCTTCAAACTCCTAGGTTCAAGTGATCTGCCTGCCTTCCTTCCCAAAGTGTTGGGATTACAGGCATGAGCCACCGCTTTATAATAGAATTAATCCATTCATGAGCAGGGACCCCTTGTGATCTAAACACCTCCCACTAGGCCCCACCTCCCAACACTGTTGCACTGGGGATTAAGTTTCCAAAACATAGGCCGGGAACACTGACTCACGCCTGTAATCCCAGCACTTTGGGAGGCCAAGGCAGACGGATCACTTGAGGCCAGGAGTTTGAGACAAGACTGGTCAACATAGTGAAACCCTAACTCTAATAAAAATACAAAGATTAGCTGGGCGTGGTGGTGTGTGCCTATAATCCCAGCTACTCGAGAGGCTGAAGCAGGAGAATTGCTTGAACCTGGGAGACAAAGGTTGCAGTGAACCAAGATCACGCCACCAGTGCACTCCAGCCTGGGTGACAGAGCAAGACTTTGCCTCAAAAATAAAATAAAATAAAATAAAATATAAAAAAGTTTCCAAAGCGTGCTTTCTGGGGAGCACTTTGAAACCACAGCACTCTCCCTGGCCCTGGCTTCTCCCTGGACCCACCAACTCTATCTTCTTCCCTCTTTCCCTCTGCCCTCTGTCTGCTTCTACATTCACGCCACACTGAGACAGTTCTTGCTAAAGTCACCCCTGGCCTCGCTAGGTTCAGTGCTTCCTGGCATCACCTTCCTAAACCTCTGGCCACACACTGCCAGCCCTGCCTCCTCCTCCCAACATCTCCCACCTCTGTGACACCACATGCTCCTGACCTGCCACTGAGTGCCTATCAGCTCATCTTCAGCCACTCACCCCTCTTACTCCATATTGGATCCCCTCCCAGTGAGGCCCTAGCCTCTTGCCTCCTCACTCTCCTGCCGCCAGGGCCAGGGACTTCCTGCTCCAATCCCCAATCTCATCTCTGCTCTGATTCACCCTGCATGCAGAGAACACAATTTCCCATCTGCAGCCAGACCTCCACGAGCCCTGCTCACTCAGCATCTCCACTTGCATGTCCCACAGACACCTCACACTTCTGTCCTCACTGCCCTTCTGAGTCTCCCCTCCCTGAGGATCATCCACCACGTCTACAGCTGTTGAAGCCAGAAACCTGGGATTCACTCCTCTCTGTGAACCTCGACCCCGCACTGACCAATCTCCAAACTCTGGTGCTTTAGTCCCGACTCTTTTCTGCATCTTCACTGCCCCCAGTTTTGTCCCAGCCACATCCATCTCTCAGCTGGACAATTACAGTTGTCTCCTGCTGAGATATGTTCCCTCTTATCCACTCTCCACACTGTGGCCAGAGTGAGCTTTCAAAAATATTATTGGGACCAGGCACAGTGGCTCACACCTATAATCCCAGCAGTTTGGAAGGCCGAGGTAGGAGGATCACTTGAGCTCAGAAGTTCAGGACCAGCCTGTGCAAACTGTGGGTGGGAGACCCCACAAGTCCCGAGGCAGGAGTCAGAAGCCTCAGCCTGTTCCCATATAAATAATGAAGAAGAAAATAACTAGAGAGATAACCATAGTAGTTATTCATAGGTAATCTTGTTATTCATAGGTTATCATTAAGATACCCCCCCCACACACACACACACATATACTCAGCATAATCTTTTACTAATGCCTCTCAGGTTGCAAAGCGTGAACCTAAGGTGACACTGTGAAAGAAGTGACCCTAAGAAAAGATGCTTTAAGCCCTCTGTCACGCCCGCGTAAGGGCTGCTGGAGGGCGCTTTGGCTATGCGGCAGCGCCAGAACTGGGAAAGCGTCCAGCGTTTAGCAAGCTGTGGAAGGAGATGTCGGAGATGTTGGAGATGTCTCCTTCCCTGGAGGAGTGAAGAGAAAATTCCGCTACCCCAAGCTCTTGCGGTGGGCCTGACGGCTGTCAGGGAAACCCACAGACATCTGGGGAGTTAATTGTCTCTATGTGGTGCTGTGCTTCAGCGGTCACGTTCCATGTCTACTTTCATGTTCCACTTCTGCACCTGGTTCCTCTTTTTCTTAGAAGATAGAATCAGTAAAAGTAACATAAATCTTAATGTCTTTGCTCTGTCTTGACAAGTATGGAAAAGTGCTGATGCATTATGCGCCTTCCCTCATCTCGGCTTGAAAGTCCTGGGCCCCCATCCCTGACACGTAATGTACTTGACCCTACCACTGACCACCAATGCCTCACCCTGTCTACCTTGCCCGCTTTGTACTCAATAAGTCAGAATATGCGGACACCCGGGGCCACTGCCGGACTCTGCGCTTTGGTTGGCAGTGGACCCCTGGACCTAAACTCTCTTTCTTTTGATCTCGGTGTCTTGCATCTTTATTTCCACAGTTTCTCATCTCCACACCAGTAGAGGGGTTCACAGGAACCTGTAGGGCAGGACCCTACCAGCAACATAACAAGACCTCCTCTCCTTGAACATGAAAAAACCTAGCTGGGTGAGTGGTCCTGTAGTCTTAGCTACTGGGAGGCTGAGGCAGGAGGATCACTTGAGCCTAGAACACAGAGGCTGCAGTGAGCTCTGATTGTGCCACTGCACTCCAGCCTGGGCAACAGAGTAAGACTTTGTCAAAAAAAAAAAAAAAAAAAAAAAAAAAAAAAAAAAAAAAAAAACAAAAAACAAACAAACAAAAAAAAACTTAGCCTGGGATGGTGGCATGCACCTGTGGTCTAAGCTACTTGGGAGGCTGAGATGGGAGGATTGCTTGAGCACAGGAGGTCAAGGCTGCAATGAGCCAGATAGGGCCACGGCTCTCCAGCCTGAGTGATAGAGCAAGACCCTGTCTCAAAAAAAAGTTTTAAAAGTCATTTTTGTATTTGAATAGACAAATTATCCACAAGTTATAAAAATGTAAAAGTACAAAGGGAATATAGTTTTCCTGCCTCTGTTTTCTCCAGCTGGAAAGATCCTCTCCTCGAGGGCAAACGCTGTTACAGGCTTCTTGTTTTTCCCTTCTGGAAATATTCCATGCATTTACAAACACATAAATTTGTTCATTTTTAGTTTTAGTTTTACTCACATAATTGGTAACACACGCTCTACCTGCACTATCCAATATGGTAGCCCCAGCCACAGGCTTAGGAATACTTGCCATGCGGCTGGTGCGACTGAGGTATTTACTGTAACGCTAAAAGAAGAAATTGATCCTTCTCATGTTGCCTTATTTCACTTCAGGGTACCTATTGAAGATATTTGTGCTCAATTTTATGAAATTAATTCTATACAAGTCTCATGACTACAGCTGTTTAACTCAGTATTTAAGTGGAAATGCTATGAATCATTGCTGGCTTTATGGAACTGTTGAAAGCCACGAAAGATAATGAACTTAATGTCTTTTGTCAAAGCTCATTGCCGGGGTTGTGGAAGAGTTATTCTAAGATTTACTGTACTTTTAACTAACTCCAAGATTTTCCTGAAACAGGAGCCATGATTACCAAATATACAATAGTAAGTATTATTACTATTTGTTTTGTGGACAAGGTCTTGCTCTGTGGCCAAGGCTGACAGTGGTGACTCGAGCCTATAATCCCAGCACTTTGGGAGGCCGAGATGGGAGGGTCATGCAGTGTGTGATCATAACTCAATGCAACCTTGACTTTCCAGACTCAAGCAATCCTCCCATCCCAGCCTCCTGAGTAGCTGAGACCACAGACTTGTGCCACCACACTCAGCTAATTTTTTAAACTTTTTTGTAAAGATAGGATCTCTCTATGTTGCCCAGGCTGGTCTTGAACTCCTGGGCTCAGTGATCCACCCACCTTGGACTCTCAAAGTGGTGGGATTATGGGCATAAGTCACTACTCTCAGCCCAAATATTTAATAATTAAAAATAAAAAAGATCAGTGTTTTCTCACCAATATCACATTACATATAACTGGGCTAAATTTGAATATCCAAGGAAAGGAAATTTCATTGTTACCTAGCCAGAAAACATAAGCGTTTCAAATTAAATATTTTCATAATAGTAACAAATAATTACAATTTACATACTTTTGTCACAAGAATCAACATACAGAGGTTTTAATTATACAGCATTATGTAAATTGGCTATATTTCAAGAAAAATTTGAAGAATACTCAGTTGATGTTGATAAATTTAGAGTGGCTTTTGAATGTATGCAATATCCATTTTGAGTTTGTGTTAATGGTACCAAAATGGCACAAGTTGGCAGATGCACTTAACTTGGATAGGTGTAGTTTTGCAACCGATATACTCTTGCTTCAAAGTCAAATCACTTCTTCCAAAAGAAATAAACTATTTTTGTCAATGTGTTTGCAAATATTAAAGGACAATGTTTTTTGGTACTCAGTTCAGTTATTGGAAAACTAAGCTTGGAACAACTTGGATATGTGAGTCTACATTTTTAGCTGTGATGACTGGGAAGATCATTAACCATCATTAAATGGTTAAATCCTGTTGTTGCTCCCCTGGATCAGGACGTGTTACCTGGAGCTGAGCTCATGAATATGCTTAAGCAGTCCTTTCACAGGTCGTGAGTGCTCTGCAGTAGGACTGTCCACCTCCTTGGGGTGCACCTCACATACCTACACCCACAGTGAATTTTGTGTGGCCACTGAAGTACAGCCAGACTGGCTCCTCCCTCACCATCTCCCACCAACCTGCTCCCAACCTACCTCCCCACCTCAACCACCTCACCTCCCCTTCGACAGGTGTGATGCAACTTTCCCCCCAGCCCCCAGGCAGGATGACTTTCCTGCTTTGCTCAGCTCAAGTCCCACCTTGTCCTGGAAGATTTCTCTCCTCATCCATCCTCAGGACACCCCCCAGCATCCCCCAGCATGGGTCTCTGGGGGGGCAAAGGAAAACTTCCCCTTTGCCTTCTGAAGTTTTGCT